GGTAACTATTGCACTCAAAGAAAGAGCCGGTTAGAGTGACCTTCCCTGATAACATTGCAAATGGCGTGAGGGTTCAAAGGGAGGTAACTGCTGCGCTCAACAAAGAGTCGATTAGTATGCATACAAGTCAAGTCGATTAGAGTGACCTCCCCTGATAACATTGCAAATGGCGCGAGGGTTCAAAAGGGAGGTTTCTGTTGCCCTACAAATCGAGTCGGTTAGAATGACCTCACCTGAAAACATTGCAAGTGTAGTGAGGGTTCAAAGAGAGTTAACTGTTGCAGTAAAGAGTGTCGATTAAAGTGACGCCCCCTGTTAACATTGTAAATGGCGTGAGGGTTTAAAGGCAGGTAACTATTGCGCTCAAAGAAAGAGACGATTAGAGTGACCTCCCCTGACAATATTGCAAATGGCGTGAGGTTACAAAAGGGAGGTTACTGTTGCCCTACAAATCGAGTCGTTAGAGTGATCTGCCCTGATCACATTACAAATGGTATGAGGGTTCAAATGGGAGATTACTGTTGCGTTTAAAAAGAAAAGGTTAGAGTGCATCTCCTGAAAACATTTCAAATGGCTTAAGGGTTCATGCTTCCCATGTAAGAAGTTTAAAAAAAAAATTAGTCTGTTTTTAGACTTTTGAAGCTCCTAAATAAGATTTTATTTCTTAACTCCTTATAATATTTTCTTTCTTCTAATTAGGATTTTAAAACCTGGACCAAGACGCCTTTGTTAATGTTGTCATTATATTAGAGATTTTCGACCATGCGACCACATACATGCATTGAGGACATGTTTAAAATAAAGTGACCGTGCTACCACATACACGCATCACAAGATTCCCCTTGTCTTACGAGAAAGGGACAAAGAGTTGTCCGCCCTTTTATTAAAGGGCAGACTTAAAAAATATGCCATTGCCTTATGTTATTGATAAGGAGGCTAATTTTCACAGATATGTCTTGAATTGGTTTATATACAACAATAGTAATGCAAACCAAGCGGGTTATCAGTTTACGTCTTTTTAAGTCCGCTATGAAATTTTAAAAGGATAATATATAACTTCTTGGAAAATTTTGAGTTTAAAGTTTTTTCTACTTTTCATTCTATGTATATAACAGAATTATTTTAATTTTGCAAAACATGAACGTTTCAAAAACGTTTTATATGCATTAAATATTGGAGATATGTTTCACATATCATCCTGGGGACATTTTTGCCGAAGTACTGTCCTGAGCCTATGTTTACATAAAAATTAATAACAATGCGAAAAAGTAGGTAAAGCAGACTGAAGCCTAATAAATGAAACACAAAGTAAAACGTCATATTTTATGTGCCTTTATAGCGCATTAGGCAGCACTCCGTGTCTGTGTTGTTTCCAGCATTTAGATGCTCGTATCATAGTTAGGTACCATTAAATTCGAGTGTTTTATGTATCGTTTTCTTATTTGACCAGTTTTGTTTCAAATAGTTACAAATGCATGAGATAGACTATTTTTGTACACAGGCTGATATGCAGTTTTGTTAAGTTTGGAGAAAACGTCAAACATCAGGAAAATAGCATTATCAGAAATGTAAGAAATTAATAATTTGATTAGTTAGTTTCTTTATAAAATGTGGAACAAAATTGAAATAAAATAGAAGTAGAAATTTATAAGAACCAAAAAATAATCATACAAAAGACAGACAAAGTGAAAAAGTAGAAAAACAACAATAACATAGTAACATGGCGAAGGGTTCAAACATAAATGAAAATAATTAAAAGTTACTGTGACGTTGATTTACCAAGTGAGTATCTTTACGATGGTACACATTTTTTTAAAATTAAACTATATAAAGTTGTTAACATTTTCATTTCAAATAATATGCAGACTTACCTTTATTGAACTTTCCCAAGTATCGCTAAGACCAAATTATCATCACAAGACCATATGGACAATACACATTTAATTTTTATATTCGACTTATTCTACTTGAAAAAAAGGTAATGTGATGGGCTGCAAGAAAAAATAGATTAAACTTGAGCAGCACACAAAACACACTGCTAAGACTACATACATGTATTTGCCTGCTGAATTTGATCGTTACAAAAGTATGAATCAGGCTGAGAAAAATGGCGATAATGCAGTCACGCAAACCTTCATCCGTGTGTCGTCATTTAACGATCTTCTCGAGAAATTCCCTATCAAAAGAGATATCCATCTACCCATCTTACCATAATCTAACGCAAAACATATACAATGCATGCAAAGAGACATTTTATTTATTTTTTATTTTATTTTTTTTTTAATTCTTTTTTTTTTCTTCAGAAAATAGCTGTAAAAATCCTAGTGATAAGATACAAGACTTCCTTGGCCTTTATGTCTAAATTGACATACCGCCGCCTGCCGGTCAAGTTGGTAGGTGTCTTACAGATCAGCTAATCAGCGATAGATAAATTTCCCATTGAGGTCACATTTAAAATGTGTAATTATCTTATTATTGATTAATAAATTCATAAATATCCACAACTGATAGATGCTGATATTGTAAGATGATAGCTTCCAGTAGAAATCTTAGGCTTATGGTCATGTTGTTTCATTACCTAGTATGTAAATTGTAAGCATTGTTGAATAAAGTAAGTTTTCATCAAATAAGAATGTATTGTAATTATCTATAAAATCCTACGCAGTGACGCTTGCCAATCACTGTGAGGAGTTTGAAGTATATGATGATCCCACGTCCAAATTTTAACGCGACAAAATATAGTGATTGATTTAAATATACTATAACCTCCGCAGGAATATATAGGTTTGCAGACCTTTGGGGCCTATTCAAGTAGAAAATGAAGAAGAAGAAAATATTAAAACTTTACTCAATATAGATTCATTATAAGACTTCTAAGTCATTTGTAAAACGGAAATATTTGTACGTTGCTACTACTATTTGTAACGTTAGTATCTATTTTGTGTTTGAAGGTTAGTAAGATACTTTGATAATTTATCTAAACACTATTCAATTCGTTTCGAACGTTTGGTGTTATACATGGGTATTTTCTTTACAGTTACAAGAAATAATTATCATATCATTATTATGCAAGTATTGCTAACATTTCTTTTTCTATTGAAAACTTAGAAATAATATACTTTTGCATGTTAATAAGTTTTACATCGGCCGAGTATCTGTTTAAAAGATACTTCCTGTTTATATTGAAACATTATTGCAAATGTTTTTAATGTCTCATCTGTTGGAAACAAGTACGCTTACATATAAAGAAATCAATAAAAATAATGTTCTTGAATTTCTGTCAGAATGTTAGCCACTCCTGCAATCAACCGCATTTCTGTCTAAGCATCTTCACTTCGACCGGGTTAGTTTTAGACGACTACAAGACGCATTGAGTTGATTTTTTAGAATTCGTGACCCTATTTTGCATGCTGATGTGCATAACAATCCCATCATTTAGTTCAAAACTTGGATGTTTTGAATGACAGAAAATCAATCATTTTCACGGATTTTTCCGAAGAGCTCTGTCATTTTTTAACCGTTCAAGATATTTTGGTAAAATGGAGAAACAAGTCCAAAATTACCTGACAGTTTCGTCTCTTTAGTCAATGGAACAAGGTCTATAGCAATGAATATTTTCTCCTTTTCAATATATAAATAAACCTGCCAAATGTATGACCTACCTGTATTGATCAGTATTTTTTTTTATTTCTACTATCACTAAAGCACTCTGTGTCATAACTGGCGCCGGTAATCCGGTTTTAGTCTTGTCCACAAAATTGATGTGCCTTAGCATGAAGACAGTTCACTCATCCTCACAAAGTTATAGCTAATTATAATATATATAAAACAGAAAATTACAATAATTTGATCTTGAGGTCAAGGTCATTTAATAAGTTGGCCTTTAATGACAATGTCATTTAAAAGTAAAGGTCATTATAAATCTGTCTACTTAAAGATCTTGTCTTAATGATTGTAGTGTCCAAATGTGAAGACAACCTGGTTATAAATGCTAATAATAGCTAAAATCAAGCGTAATAAAAAATAAACGCTGAAGGTGAAGGCCATATATGATATATGAGTCGAATTCATGTTAAAGCTGACGTACTTGAAGGTCTTGTCCAAATGGGTTGTTGTTTCCAAGTATGTGAAGACAGTGAATTAATATATAAGAAATGACAACTGCAACGACAACGGGACCTGGCACCATGTAGCAATAGGTCGGCATTTTTTCTTTGAAAAAGACTAGCTAAATTGCAATATTGGCTAGAAAGTACATGGATTGATATAAATATTGATAAACTTCAAATGTTCAAATGATTTAAAATATGGTGATGTTTCATATTACCAGGATATACATTGTAGATGGGTAGTTCAATTTCTGAAACCATTATTTTAAATTTGTAAAGGTTGAACCTTACTCGTTTTGTTGTTAAAGTAGAAATGAATAAAATTAATGCTCTGCTTGAATACTGTGTACTTTTCATTTATTATCTTTAACAAGAATATTTCCATTCGAAGAAGCACCCATTAAATGTGTTAACAACGAACTACCAGGCCCGAAATAAAAGTATACATGTGCGCGTTTTAATGAGATTATGTGCCAGCGTACCCGCAACGTTTCGAAATGTAGTGATGAGCACAGAATCGTTATGTAAATTTGATAATATTCACATGTAGTTTACCAGCTCTTCCCAACCCAATGTGAACTGCCGATCTCGCTTAATGAGACATCTGTGTTTATTGCAGCGCAAACTTGAATAACAAATTAACAAAGTCATCAGTATTTTCGTTTTTTGTTTCTCTTTTCGTTTTACATTTTGTGACTACTGCGATCAAACTCCTCGCAGCGGTTACTTCCCCTGATCTGTACAGTTAAAGTAGCAAAGCGTGACGTAACCGCTGTGAGGAGTTTGTGCTGCGATGCGACGTAGCTTAAGAGTCTGTTGATATTCCTACATGACCCTAATTTATCTCATTCAAATTGTAGATAACAAAGATTGTAACAATAAGATATGAAAGTCTTTTTCATTTCTTTTTGAGGTAAACTTATATAAAGAACTGGATTTTTTGCGCTTGAAATCTTGTTTTCTTCGGAAGTACCACTAATTTGTGCACTAATTCCCTTTGTTGAATTGTGTGGTAATCAGGGTATTTATGCCCGTTAAACGTACGTTATAACAGATATAATGCTCACCGAATTCATTTATAAACGTACTGATCTTTAATCAGAAAGGGGTATGTAACTTAACTGAATTCAGTTTTATAGTGTAGACTACGTACGTTTCTTCTTCTTGTGAATACCACACTGCTTTAATTCACGGCAGAGTGTGTTTGCGCTCTGGTTAAGATATTTACAAAAATGAAAATTTGAAGGCCCATTTTGCCAAAGAAATGCATTATTTTTATTTCTCAAAAGCTTTTTTCTATTTTTTATTTGACAGCCCTGTTTTAGTTTCTAAAAGGATACCGATTGCAAATACTCGTAACTTGAACCATCTTTTTCGTCGATGTTGTCATTTGGCACAGTGATTAAGTATTTTGTATGAAGGTCAAAATACTACTTTGTTTACATTATGCTATTTCCAAAACAAATAATTCCACATTCAGCCTATTTCTTTCAGTTGATAACCATATAAAAACATGCTTTCTATTATTTAAACGTTATAAATCTAATGTTTAAAATTAAAAAAGAAGACAAAAATTCATTTCTGAAGCATCTACACTTCTTTCTAAGGATGGGAAAAATATTTTTGAGATATGGACACTTTCATTGTAGAACAATTGATCAAAACGTAGCTGAAAATGGCAAACACATTTTATTTAAAAAAAAACGCCATTTTAATGAACATGTTTATTTTATCAAAAATCAAGAATGTCATGCCATGCCCAAACACTGGAAGCGATATTGATACGAAATACCACAAAAATATTGCAAAAACATTTTACTAAATATCAACTGATTTTGATAAAAAATTTACACGGTTGTCAATGAAAGGCTAATCAAAATATACACACATCGACCAATTAGTATCTTTGATATTTTACAGTCATGTAATTTTTATTTCAAGTCACACTGGGCTGCGAATGTAATTAAGGAGTCACAAAATGGTAAAATCATTTTACCAATATCGTTAAAATGTTGCAATTCTGACAATAAAAAAACAAACTAAAATTGATCATTTTAAGAATAAATACCTGTCAAAATATAGGTTTTGATTTTATAACGATAAGTAAATTTTGACTGCCGTTTGCCTAAGGGGGCGACATCAGAAATTTTAAGTTACGAACAACTGAAGTTTTCAAATTTTTCACTAGAGTTACTAAGTGTGATAGTGCTTATGGACATTAACATGGGTAAGTTTTATATATTTATCAGATTTTTAATTCCATATGAGGAAAAAAATAAAGGGGGATGTATATTCCTTTGATAGAACAGTTTATTGTTATAGACATGAACAAAACCTCCGTTAAAATGAGTAGATCACAAAGATACATCGTTATTTAATTAAAAAATGTGTGTGCATGTACATTGTATTTCCAAATAACTTCCCATTTCTGTTTTTCTTTATCCGGTTGATGATATTCGTTTGTACTTACGAAGAACTTGCCGAATTTTTGTCAAATCCATTTTAAATAACAAGTTAAATATCTTTTAAAATGACTTCATTACAGAAGGAAAGCCTAAAATTGAAGACATACTGTTTTTGACAAAAGCTGTTTCAAGGGTATATGGACTATTGGCTATAGCATGCACATGTGCCGGAATGTTTACTCTGTGGTATGCCTCTCCTGTGCTGACACTTCCTTTCATATCTGCTTCAGGGGTTTGGACAGGTATCCTAGTGAGTATTTGTTTATATTTCATTATAAAATTTAAAATTTCATGTATACACTAAATATAGTTTGAAAGTATTTGCTGCAAACTCGAGGTTTCGACTTTAGTTCGTCGTCGGCAACAAGCGAGGAATGGTGTCTAACTGTGATATACTAACCAATTTCAGTGTACTGAATAAATCATATCTGTATATATACAAAATAAGTAAACCAAAATCCACTTTGGACATTCTGTAATGTTCTGCTCGTAAGGTCATTGAGAGACTCGCGAAAACACTTCTTGTTCTGTTCGGTTTTAGGCATTAGCGGGTACCTGCTTCATAAGTAAGATAGCTGGGGTACACTTCTTAATCCTTATTACGGTCATTCGCACTGTACCTCTGCCCTTGCATGTACAGAAGTAATCAGTTACTTGCGAAAAAATGAAGGTAACTAGGACTGGTTAACTGCTTAGCAACCTGCCCAGGAACGATGCGATGTCTGAACTGTGCTGTCTTACTGCCGTGACCCGGGTGAAAACTACCAGCACTTACACATCTTAGATCCACAAGTGTAATCGACACTGATTCCATGTAATATTGTAAAAAAAAAGATCGGCAGTTATTTTCAAATATATCAAATACTTCCATAATACACTTACTAACTAATATAAATACGATATGTATTTCTTTTCAGACGTTTGTTATATATGAGCTAGGTATGAAGATAGTAAAAGACCACAACAATGACAACCAGTCCAGACCAACAAGAAAAGTAAGTGATGGTAATTTACATGAACACTTTTCAAGAAGATAAGTAACCAAAATGTTAAAAGATATGCAAATGTCTATATACCAGTAAACGTTCATATTAATACTGCTGTAAGCTTCCTGCAATATACATCTACTTAACAATAACAAACTTTAATGTGGTTAAACCCAACTTTAGCGTACTCGTACATTACTGTATCCTGGGATGTACTATAACGTATGTTCCAGTGTATCATAACAATAAAAGATTTTCGCTAAAGAGTTTTACTTTCGGTTAAAAATGAATTGCAACTATAAATCACTTTTTCGAATCATGATAATTTATAACATACGTCTTTTCTTTTCAAAGGTTAAGGCAATTTTCACATGTATAATCGCAGACGTGATATTTGGAATTCTCCACGTGAGCTTCTCAGCTGTAGGACTGTCATACTGCAGCAAGGAATTGCGGACTGGGGGTTTCACTTGCAATGAAAGGGAGCGACCTAGACTGTTACTAATGGAGAGCTTCAATATTGCATTTGGTGTGTTTATTACACTTTTATCAGTTGCAACAACTATCTATTTTTCTTTGAAAAAGAGAATATCAATTTTAGCGGGAAAATGGACGGAAGCGGAAGCAGAGGTCACGTGACTTTGTTGGAAAGGGCATGTTCGGTCAAATTTATACATTGTAGACTTTTGACAACTTATGGTAGAAATTTGATAGTGCAATATTATAGTTCATGTAGTTAATGCCCTGTATATGGACAAGGCTTATCGGTTGCTTGTGACATATCGGAGATACACATAACTAGTTGTGAATAGTGATAAATTTATGCCGATCAAAGTGAAGTTGGACTTTTTTCTGAAAATTTGTTAAATATCAAAACGTTGTTAAACACATAATAATGCACTTTATATGTACTGGATTCACTCGGAGATTATTATTGCTGATACTTGATATCAATAAATAAAATATTTTTTCCCAGTGTACTTGAAAAACAAACTCCTTTCCAGTGCATATCACTTTGAAAGAGCGAAATCGCAGCCTTTTACATGAATTTATACAATGAAATTTTGATTTATGATGAACATATAGAACTGGGTATAAGTATCAACTATACAAATACAACACTTTCGTCATGACTGTTAATTTTATTAGATAGCATAATCATTTTTTCAGAGTTTTTGTAATTCTAGTCCCATAAATCTATGTATATTCTCGGCTACCTGGATACAATGCAATGTTCTAGCTGTGTTTGCACCCGAGTCCTTAACTCCTTTTACCTTGTCAACAAACTGCAGAAAATCTTGCATAAATAACCCTGGAAAAAACAATAAAATAATTTTAAGCACTTGGAGACAATGGGTCAGAATATTTTTTCAAAATAATGTTTTTTGCTCATTATTCAAAGGTAAGATGTAAACTGTCATGTCTTTGCACAATAACTGCAAATTATGTTGAGGTGTTCATAATACCTCTGCATTATTATTATTTTCTGTAATATAAAAGGGGCCTTCATTTTAAACCAGGCTTATATTCATTTGGCATGAATGCCATCCTTTCTATGGTAAAGACAGTATAAACCAAATTGCTGAAATAAGCTCAAATTATTTAGTAACCCTTAGCCTACTAAAGACAACAACTTCTTTTCATGCGATCAGTGCAGTGGTCTGCTCTGTTCGCTAATTTTAGTCAGAATATAGTTTTTGTTATATTTTCACTAAAAAAGATTTATGGCTTTCTCCAGATCGAAGTATGTATAGGCAAATTCATTTAAGATATTAACAACAAAATGACATGTATTTACATACATGTAAGCTATTTCATAGGTGTTCACAACAGACTATTGTCATATCCGCTTTGGCTTTGTTTGCAAATCAAAATGTTTAATCGTAATAAAATTTGAATGTAAAATCGTAAAACTGCAACAAAGAAATCTTAATACCCGGTTTCTTTGATGGTTGTGGGACACCTTCTGCAGGAGGGGGAGTAACTCCTGGAGTATCATCTATAATAGTTCCATCTTCTAAAGTAAACGTCATTTTTTTATTCCGAGGTTGTCGTTCTTTACTTCTTCGTAAAGTTATGGTCAGATCTCTGCATATAAATTAAGCGTCTACAATTATGATATAAAACAAAACAAAACAAAACAAAAACAGCTATAACCTAAGGGCGTTTTTGCCACGCACTCATCATGATAATTTACAAATTAAATATTTATCTGCTGTTCAAAAAGTTTTATGGTTTTGAATGATGATAGAATTAAATTAAAAGTACGTACTAGCTACTATGTGTTTTTTATGATTTCAACCGAATGTCCATTAATGAATGATGAAATATAAGTTTTAAATATTTAACAAGTAATGAAATATTTTGGTTAAAAGACTGTATCTACATATTGTTGCCAGTCTCACCTGCATTTTGAACACGTCAGTGTGGCCGTGGCTGTGAAGCCAGCCTCGTTTATCTCTAGTTGACCTCCTGTTGCTTGAAGGTCATTGCCAAGCAGGTCATAAAAAGTTTGTATCAGGGACACATTTACACAAAACGGTCCACCTGACTTCTGAAAATCTTCAACCCAACCGTTGTAGTTTGCTGTTTTAAGATAAAAATACAAATATGGATTGAATTTCGATATGAATATTGATGCGCCATCATTTTAATGACGTCGTGTTTAAATGACGAAATAGAAACTCTAGCTTTGTCATTCATATCAATCTGTTCTACGACATAATAACAATCTTTACAAAATTGAAAAGACAAAAACAAAAAGGATGAAAATAATAACAAAATTTAAATTTGATTGAAGAACTTATGCTGAATAACTGTTTCATCTGATAGACCATATTTACTATAAATTAAATATCAATTTTTGCATGAAATGCTTGGCTGCAAGACTTACCGGAAAGTTGCAGTTCTCCCTTCAAAATAGTAGAGTTTGTTTTCTCTAACCTTTCCTTCATGGAAAGATGACTTGGCGTTAATAGAGCGATGTTCTCTTCGTGCAGTACCAAGCCTGAAATTATATATAAACGTTGAAAATAAATAAAAAATAGAATATTAAACGTATGTTAGTATCTGGCTTTATCAACACATGTAGTTGCCGAATTTAGTTCCAGTTTTAACATTAATTTAAGTCATAACCGGGAATTATTTCAGCTGACTTTTTCTCTCTCCTAGTCTGTCATGCCCCCTGAGAACTCTACACAACCACATAACAAATAGAATAACAATGTGCTCAATCGACAGAAAGAATGTAAAGTTATCAATAAAACAGGATAAAATAATGTTTTTTTATAGGGAATTGAGTTTAACATCGCACCGACACAGTTGAGGTCATTAGGCGACTTTCCAGCCTTAGTAGTGGATTAAAACCTCAGGTGCCGCTCCGTGCAATATTTCTGGCACGAGTGGGCATCTGAGTAGAACTACCGACATTCCGTAAGCTAGCTGGATAGCTGCCTTGCACGAAAGAATCCATGGTCCTTTGCGGGATTCGAATAAAAAAAATGAAATTATTTGCGATAAATGATATCATTAACTTATAATGTATGTTACCCTTTTCTGTAGCGACGGATAATAACTCGCTGGTAACCGAAGCTGAACTACATACGGGAAACTCCACGAGGACATGCTTCCCATTTGCCAGTGCTTTCCTATGCGAATCAAACAAACAAAACCAGTAAAATACAATATAACATCTGATTTAAATCGACCAACAGAACAACACAAAATAACTGCATATCTACAGCCATTGAATCAACAGAACTTACAATATCATATCCTAAATTATAGCACCTTGTTAATATTTTGATAAATATGGAATTCGTGAAGCATACCAAGACAAAGCACTCTATTTTTCCGTTATAAAATGATATTAGAGATTATGAAGGTTTAGGAACATGAAATATAATATTCGTGTTTGGCACAGTTCCTGAATCTGAGCGCTGCGGCCAGACGACTTGTTCAGGGTGGCTATCTCACTGGAGGTATATGTACATTGTACATATGAAAACAGAAAGGAAAATGAGTTAACAGCAAATATGAACTACATTTACTGGCTTTTCAGATTGAATGTTCAGCGATATTTTCAAGAAGAATAACATTGTATTTGGAATAACATTTACTAATTGCTAAAAAGCAACATAAGCAAAAGGTGGTTCAGGTAATTGGCCAATTATAGTAACTTATTGGAAAGTGGAAACACTTACAGGCCACCAGCAGTTGATGCTTTTGGGTAAATGAAAATAAAGCATTTCTGAGGCATAATGGGCCTTTAAAGATGGACAATTTCATTCAATATATTTAGAGTGACAATGGTTACATGCATGACCATTACCAGGTTTAAATGTGACACAAATGGTGGTGGTGTTGGTAGTTTTCACTCCGGATCAGGGCAGTTAGCCACAATGAATTCACCTGAATACAGTTCAGCCACCGCATCGATCGTTCCAAGGCAGGCTGTCGAGCAGTTTACCAGTACTAGATACATCCACTTTCACAAGGAACTGATCATTTCTGTACATGCCAGAGCAGATGTACAGTGCGAATGGAAGTAGAAAGTATTTCATGATCAATCACAATGAAAGTGAACTGCGCCGGGAATGGAATCCGAGTCGCCCGATTCACAGTCCAACACTCTACCTATTGAGCTAACCGGACGGCTAATGTGACACAAAACATCATGGTATGTTTATTATAGTGGACCAAAGTACCTTATAACAGGTTCGTGGGCACCTGGTTCCGTGCATACTAAAACAACATCAACATCCGGTCGTTGGAACGCTTCATCTTCTGTAATTTGTATAGCGCCATCTATTTCAAGCTGTCGTCTGCGGGAGATTTAATGATTTGTGAAAAGAATATTTTGTTATAAATAATTAAAGCGCTTATTACCTAAAAGCAAAATCACACACGCACATGCACACACACACACACGTACACGCACGCAAAAACACACACAAACAAAGCAAAACTTAAAAACTAAAATTATTTAATTTAATGTACCATAAAACTTATTTAATCCACTATGTTACAATTCTATAGTACTAATGCACATGTCCATCATTTGATATTAAGCCAGCCATCTTTCCTAACATTCTAAATCCAGTATTTATATGTACATTGTATAATGATTATTTAGGTGGACTTTGAACAGGCTTACTGAAACATTTTCAGATTTTCCCATTTTGGACGTTAGACTACGATCTTTCCCTGGCTTTCCTCTTTTCTATTTTACCCTTATAGCATTTTATTTCTGAACATTCCAGCTGCGTACGTACACCATCATTTAAATAAGCATTGACAGCGAAACAACCAAATTACCCTCTTGAAACTGAGTTACTGTTAATTCAGTAACCCAGTAATCAGTAACCCAGCTTGAAATAAAGAACGATAAATATGTCACTCGAAATCTTAAGATTATGGGTACCTACCTTGATACGAAGCCTACCAGTTTCGCACCGACAACCCCGCTGTCACACGCTGATATATCTCGTATCCTGACCTTGCCGGCGATTCCAGCACCAAAGACAACTGCTCCTAAACACTTCGTACTCATTGCCTGGAAGTTGAAAATTTGTTTGATAATCCCGTTTATAATCAAGTCAAAGTCGCATTACTCTCTCGCAAAAAGATGTGTCACTGTATAGAACTAACTCCCCTTAATACGTAAGAGCAAATATCAAATTCCTAAACTTTTTTTGAGTCACCAATGGTCCATAAAGCCCGAGGACCAGCGGAGAAAAAAGGGAGAAATGAGTAAATAAGTTGATTTTTCATCTTTACTGAGTCTGCGTATGCGTATTCTTTTATTTATTCTTTTATTTATTTATTTTATGTCGCAATGATGGGCAGGAAAATGTCTAAATCCAAGAGCGAGCTAGGACTATTAGCGTGTGTGTGTGTGTGGGGGGGATAATGCGGGGTTTGATAACCAAAATATCCCTGTAATTTATGTAATTCCCGATCCCGGGTCTGAGGGGCGTGGATACCAATTAAGTGACTAGTGCATTACTGTGTCACGTGTTCATACATTTTGACGAAAGTTCCAGTAAGTAAAACGTGTTTGTCCAGTAGGCCTATGATCACTGATTATAAAAGAAATAGTTAAGATGGCCGGTGAAGAGGGAAAACAACACGTACAGGCCGGTGATAGCGGGATTAAGATTATGCTGCAGACTTCACTTTTCATTATCGCTGATTATCAGCTTCAGTCAAACCTGTATATCACCTGTTGTCAATCCGTTCACGCCGAATTCTATTAATATGGGTAATTGATACCGTATGTCACCAAGATAAGGGGTTGTAAATACATGTATACTTATATACCTGTTGACAAATACCGTATGATTCTTATTTCTTACTAAAACACTGTTGTACAGCGTCCACCGGATATAGCCCCTCAAAACTCCGAAAACGAAAGTAAAAAGGTTTACGTCGAGTTCACCCAAGGTAATGTTTCAACTTATTTCTCCATCATAACTCCATCGATTTTTCCAAACTAAACAATTTTGTGAAGCTAAATATGTCAGATTTTAGGGCAGTATTTTCTTTTTTCTGCAAATTGAATACTTTTTTGTTAAATCGGCGATAAATTGTACCGTTTTTGTTGATATTTTCGAACAATGTTGATATTTACTGTAAATCAGGTCCAAAAGGCATTTGTTGTATCAAAATCCGTATTTAAATAAAAATATAGACTTCCCTCTACTTGTATTTGAGTGGTCATCCATCAAATCAAGCTGCTTTTAGCAAAATTTGCGAAAATAGACATTGCCTAGTATACAGAGTCTAGCACGGTTTTTTGTACGGGTGTAGATGGAAATCTGTTAGCAAGTGTACGGGGTGTAGTAGGTAAACGACTGCTATATTTTTTTGCAAAAAATAAACTAAATTAAGTACCAGAGCATACACGTACGCATATGAAGTAATGACAATCGATGCCGGGGGCAGGGATCGTAAGGTAAACATTTTATCATTTTAAAAAGGATAAAAATGTTAAATTAGATAAGAAACATTATACGTAGCATGAATATCAATGGTAGTAAACCGTTTCCGTCCTAAGCTAGACAACTTTTTATGCGTGATTTTGTGGAAAAATGTAAAAGTCAGTAGACTGAATCATTATAGATTGGTAGAACTTTACCATGTTACAGTGGAATTCTAAAATTTGTCTTAAACAATATCAAATCATGTTCAAGTTATGCATTGTGAACAGTAAGTTTGATGATATTTCATTGCATATATAATTAATCAATTATTTTACATCAACATAATTACACAATAAACAAAAGGGTTGGGCCAATTGTTTTTTGCAAAATTATCATGGGCCTTTTCCTGTAAGATAATAGTTGACCACGTATAACTATGCAGTGAGTCACGCAACTTCGTGAAAGTATACAAATGTTTTATCGTAAACATTGAATACAATTTTAATGGCAAAGACATAGTTAGCTTTTTTTCAACTTGTAGGCCCATAAAAAAGGGTCTGGGCCATAACATGTTCAGATTAAAAAGAGCAAATGCGCGTTCCAAACTATGAATTTGATTAGATGCAAACTGGGGGCGGTAAATCATGCATAAGCGTAAAACACTTGATCCGACCATACGACATGAACCTGGGATATACGATAACTTATCGTATATCCCAGTATGAACACAGTACCAATCTTACCCACGCATGTTTTTAGTATGAATTTAAGTAATTATTGAAGTTTACGATCAATATCTTGTGTCTTCGAATGATTGTCAGCTCATAAAGGCTATAAAAATTAAAAATATGTGACTGCTATACACCGTAACATTCTACTAAACCCTGTACATTAAACTTCTACACTCCGTTCACTTTAATTTGTATTTCTTGCTAGACTCTGTACACAAGGAAAGACCGTTTTTCGCAAATTTTGATGAAAGCAGCCCCAGTTGATGGATGACCACTTGAATACAAGTAGAAGGAAGTCTATATTGTATATTAAATACGGATTTTGGTACAACAAATGCCTCTTGGATCCAATTAACAGGTCAATTTCAACATCGTTCGCAAATGTCAACAAAAACGGCACAATTTATCGCCGATTTAACAAAAAGTATTCAATTTGCAGAAAAAAGCAAATACTGCCCTAAAATCTGACATATTTAGCTTCACAAAATTGTTTAGTTTGGAAAAATCGATGAAGTTATGATGAAGAATTAAGTTGAAACATTACCTTGGGTGAACTCGACGTAAACCGTTTTACTTTCGTTTTCGGAGTTTTGAGGGGCTATATCCGGTGGACGCTGTACAACAGTGTAAAATAGGGTACTGGTTGGACAGATCGCATATTTTTGTAATATCATAACTATCTTTGTGCGTGTAAAAAAATGAAATATTGACCCACCTAAGTTCGGTTCAAAGACAAAAACAATACACTTCAAAAATTATTCATCGAAATGGAAACTGGTACCTCTCTAAGCTCCTGAATGAGGTAATCATAACATGGTCCTTTTACCCCACAACAGTAGATAGTCAACACTCAATTTTATATAGAAACTAACTGTATTAATCAGCATCAATTATTCCAATTGACATGTTATATACGTTTTAAATATCTATATTTTAATGGTATCTTATCAATTTAAAATTTTCAAAAATCTTTCCCGGATTTTCCCAAGTAAGTGGCCAGTAGTCTAGACTGTTCTAAATACATACCTTGTGGAATTTCAGTAAAAAGAACATTTTGAGTCAACCGTTTTGGTAATTTGACACAATCATATATCATTTTATTAAAAAAAGATCATCACAGTATATCCTGCTCCTAAATTACAGATCTAATCGAGTGACCATGAGCTTGTCTGTTGAAAAACGAATTAAAAAAAATCAAGTGTCGGGGTTACAGCTAGGTCTATGCGTCGGAGTTATTTCTCTAACAGTATCAAAGGTGCTAGTGGCATTGATTTGACCTAAAATGTTTTTAACCTTGTCATTTATGCAATAAAATATCCATATATTAAAAAAAGAAAAAAAGAAAAAAAATACTGTTATATTGTAGATAAGAGTAAAAAATCTTTCTTTTTTTTTTAATATATGGATATTTTATTGCATAAATAACGATGTAAAACAAATTTTAGTTTTCCCGATGAGAATAACTTAAATAAATAGTTTCGTACCTTAATAATGGGGGGTAACCCCCTATTAAAAGGGTCTAAAAAAAGAAATGTATTAAAGGGCAAAAACCACCCAATTCTCTAGCAAATTTAAAAGAAGTCAAAACAAAAAATGAATTTTTGAAAATAAATGTGCTTACGCGGAGATGTTTCACTGTCAGTCCATCAATACACTTACGTAAACAAATGCACATGTATGCGACCTATAAATAGAAAGGAAAACACCTGTACTGTAGATTGAAATCGAGGCTTGACGTCACTTCTAAATATTGGGAGACACCTATGTACATGACTAACATGAAATTGTTTTAGTTTTGTCACGATTTGTGACATTTTTTCGTTCATTCGTTTGCTTTGAGGATGGATTTAGAAGCGAAATGATAAATTTACATTTTTAAGTAACATCAGCGTTTATAATTTGTACAATATTTTTTATATTTTTAAAGAAATTTTGAAATAATTTTACATCGCCAGAATACAGGTGTGGCAAACTTTGGAATATTTTATTCGACATTTTTGATAATGGTGTCACAACAACTTTATTTTGTTGTTGCAATCATTTTTGCTCAGGTAAGTGAGAAAATTCGCACAGATATGACATAACTAGATTTAAGTATCATTATGAATTGATCATTTTATGTGACAGGCCTCAAAAGATTGTTTTTGGACAGTGTTATTAGTGTAAATATTTCAATTAATAATTGTGTGTGTGTGTGTGTGTAAATCACTTAAGTTATAAATTTTCATTTGAACAATTATTGCAAGGCATACTGTAAATAATGTAATGAAGGATATATTGTACATGTATATAGTGACCACTTACTCTTCATCTTTTCATACAAACTCCTCAAATAAATGTCAAAATTGTTGATTTAATTAGTGTTTGAATTATACTGTATATTGATACAAAATGGAATTTTAAAGGCATTCAATTAGATTTACTTGGTTAGGAGAAGCATATTACTTTTTATAAATTGTATATTATTCTTTGGTTTATAATGCTGAAAAAAATGTGTTATAATAAACTCATACATGTATATAAATATATTAGCTAATTATAAAGTTTCCAAGTGTTTGAAGTTATGTGATTACTGCTTAGGACATCCATCTGGCACAGACATTTTAGCCCTATATAGCTCTTTCTAGGTCAGCGAATAGCAGCTTGATTCTGATTCATGGAAAGTACAAGAAAATTATCTGATCACGGTCTGCACTGTTCGCTATTCAGTCAGTGCATCAGGGTTCTCACTAGGATTTTAAAACATGGAGTCCATGGACTTCCAAGCACTGCATATTTTGAAAATTTCCAAAAAGATGATGTAAGGTCAATGGTCCAATGGTTTTGTGCAGATTGAAATATATCAAAATAAAGCCCATGTATTATTTAAGATATTTAGTTTGGCAAGGGTCAAGTATGGCTTTTAAAACTTAATCGAAGCTATATATATATTATGTGATGCTTCTAACCTGGGACTTACAATTGAGCCGCGTCACGACAAAACCAACATAATGGGTTTGCGATCAGCATGGATCCAGACCAGCCTGCACATCTGCGCAGTCTGATCAGGATTCATGCTGTTCGCTATCAGTTTCACTACTTGTTATAGGGTTTACTAAGCGAACAGCATGGATCCTGATCAGACTGCGCGGATGCGAACTGGTCTGGATCCATGCTGGTCGCAAACCCATTATGTTGGTGTTCTCATGATGCGGCTCAATTATTTTAAGTCCCAGTTCTGACAAAATTGATACATAAATTATGATATATTGAACTAAGTTCAACACCAGACCTTAAAGAATGTTATTCGTCAGCTGTTTACAACCGTTGAGTTACCATACATTTATCTTTTCTCTTTGTAATTTAACTGGTGTAAGATTATTATAGGATTTAATGTAAATATTAGAAAAAATTATATAAATATAAAAAAAGAGGTCTTATTTTCACAATCACTGTTCTTCTGATACTTCATTTTAATTTCATATATCTAGCACTTTTAATTTCAAATTGTGATTTAATGTAAGTTAATAAATTTATACAAAGTAAAGAGTTACGCTAAAAAATGAATAAAAAATAAACTGATTCTTTGATAAAAATATTTTTAAACTTATTGACAACATGATATTATATGTTGACCGGTGTTATAATGTATATATTATCGTCTATATGTGCAAAAACAGCAGGTCTTTTTGACCAGTTTTCCATGTTTCGATCAAAATATGACAGCGATAGCCTAAAGTCATAAAACGGAAATTATCGAGGGGTGATGAAATACAGATAGTACCTGTTTACAGGTATCAAGTGTTTGAAACACTGTTTGCATGACTTATCATATACTAATCATTTTTGTTGACAGGTGCACTGTCTAAAAATAGATTCATTTAATGAATTTTCTTGCACAATTTCTTTTTCCTCAGAAGCATGAAACAAAAGTCACTTTCACATGCAAAATTGCAAATTATATTTATATATTCAATTAATTGCTAGTATTTATGACATATGATATGAATAGTTAAGAATAGGGAAGTTCAAGCAAGTAAACACATTGAAGCTAGTATAGTTTTTATGTCATAAATATGCAGATTCATGCTTCTAAGTACAATAGTACATACCTTAAATTAATTTTTTATGGCATAGTACTGTCACTTTACTTACATTGTATAAAATTCAAAAGTGACCAATCAATATACAGATTCACGCCCCAAACCTATGCTTAATGGGTCAATTTAAATTTTATGAAATTACAAAATCGGTCAAACCAAGACAGATGTTTGAATTAAAAATTTTAAAAGAATAATAATCAAACACTGGGCAGTCCATTTTGTGGTTTCAAAATGTTTTATTGCATTGCAGGTATACTGTATAGATAATAATGTTATGCAAATTTTACGAAAAATTAACATAACAGACATAAAAACAAATGTACAAATTACAAAAGTATAATTGTTAAAGGTAATGCCATGTTACTTTTTTACATTCTGCGGTTTAAGTGCAATTTAACATGCTGATTCATGATTGGGGCATAGAGTTTAGAGGTTTCCTGGTAATATAATATATATATTTTCACATGTAAATTAATACCATAGGCTGCATTTAAAATGATACTGTCACACTTTTCTCAGTATTTCATAATAATCATAGGTTTTTACAGTATTCTTGCTCAATTGAAAAATTGATTTCAGATAAATTTTTTTCCATATAATTTTATGTTTGAACGCTTTGAAAGTCTGAGTACTGTACACTGTATGAGCAGCTGTCAAGTGACTTACCAGCTGACAGTGCCACCAATAGAGACCAGCCAGGTCTGAACTTGCATACAATGTATCAGTGAAATCTGAACAGGCTTTATTCTTTTGGTTGTTTCATTTTCAACATTTTTGTATCAAAATTTGGATCTTTAAATTGTACATTAAAATTGACAGTTCCTGTTCCATAAGGCATATTCAATTAAGAAAATTAATTATTAAGACTTTGAATTTGAATTCAAGACATTTAGTCACATTATGACATTTGCTGTTAATGCAAAGTGAAATACTTCTTCAGAATTTCATTTATAAAACTTAAGATAATTTTTAATATTCACATCAAAATGTTAAATTTATAACATTAAAAAGTTAAGTTTATGTTATTACAGATAAAAATTCAGCCTTAATTGTAAATTAATCATTAATAATGTTTTATAGCATAAAAATATTTTGGAAACTATTGAAATTTTACATTACCATGGTAACTGACCTGCTGTTTTTATCTGTCTATCAACATATTCATACGCAACATCAATTCATATCATAATCAAGTACACTATATAGATTTTACTAATACGATCAACGGAATGTAATTAGCCAATCAGTCTTCTTATATTTAATATGACATTTTCTTACGTCTAATTGGTCGAATGAGAATTCCTATCACTCCTTACGCATTAGGTGTACAAATGTTACCTCGTTACCTCACATTCAGTTAGTGAACATATACATCTTAATGGTTTTACATATGAGCCGTGTCATGGCAATACCAACATAATGCGTTTGCGACCAGCATGGATCCAGACCAGTTGCGCATCCGTGCAGTCTGTCAATCAGGATCCATGCTGCTTGCTTACAAACCGTATAACAAGTAGAGAAACTGATAGCAAACAGCATGGATCCTGATCAGACTGCGCGGATATGCAGGCTGGTCTGAATCCATGCTGGTCGCAAACCCATTATGTTGGTTTTGTCATGACATGGCTCATATATTCAATAAACAGTCACCACAAACAGAAATTTGAATGATATTATATGTAATATATATATAATATATATATAATTATATATATGCAAGAAAATGTAATACTAATATACTGTCTGACTCACAGTGTCGTTATAAGATTTTGTTTGGGGGCAAAGTTAATTGAATTATTGAACATTTGAGTAGCTTTGATTGAACATTTAATACATAATATTGTATAATTATAAACATAAAAGTATTCTCAAATTGTGTTAAAAAATGTTGGAGTCTTTTTTAAATCTTGCGGGCTTTACCAGACTTCTTGGATTTTATCAAACGGTAAATTTGAAACTTTAACAGTTCAAGACATGTGTTATTTTTGACTTATATTATAATAATTTATTATTATATGAAAAATTAACTTTCATTATATACATTTAATACAAATGATAGGGAACTGTATTATTAGGGCAGAATTTTTTTTGACAGGTAGGCAAAGGGGTCCTTCCCTTATATTAAGGGAAAACTTAAACAGCAGTTTTTGAAAAAGGGAAAGAAAGCACTTGATGTTAAGTGAAATTTAGAGGAATTCTGCATGATTTTAAAGAGTTTTCCTGAGGAGTCAAGCAGCCCTCATAGTCTCAAATTGCCCCTGCATTATAAGTTTAAATAGAAGGAAAAATGCCAAGATATAATTCTTAAAGTGGTCACCTGGCTATTTTTTCCTGTATCAATAAGTTATCTCTATTATATTAAACTTTGGTCAAACCCAGAATACTGAAAGAAATTATGCTTTCTTGTTATCATATCCTACAGACCTCTGAAAATTAAACTAGGCAAGAAAAGGGGAGAAAAGTGACTTTTTTCATTTACACAAAGCTAGTAGAGTGATATTTTCACAAGACATGAAGAAATGGGTTTTAAATTGTTCTGATATTTTAAATTGTGAATAAATATTTGTATAGATTGTTAAGTATCGACGATATATCAGTATCATGATTTTCAATGACTGTGAGCCCTATCTTTTATTACACTGTTCTTGTAAATAATAATTTACTTAGAGTTTCGCTATTTTTAACATTGAAGCAAACTATTATAAGAGAACTTAAGTATGTAAGCCCTAATTATATTCTAACAGATATATAGTTAATATATTTATAGAATGTGTTAAAAGATGCTGAATTATTTATATTAAATGGACATATATAATACTGGTCACTATTAATACATAATGCATATTAAATATTGTGTGAGTGACATTTTATTTCAAGTCCAAAGTGGTTATAAAAGATAATATGAAAATATCAAAAGCAACTGATTTTTAACACTGAATTAATGTTATTGCAATAATTTTCTACTTTTT